CTTATGTGCTTTGTTCATGATGTGACAGTGAAGAACTTGTTATTTAGCAGCCTCAGTGGTTTAAAGTATGGTTTATTTTATTAAAAGTTTGTTAATATTTTCTTTTGTTAATATAAAGTGTAATGACACATAAATATTGAGAAATACCTATATTCTTTGCGTATTATTTTCTTACAATGGATTTAAAAGAAATCTTCAAACTATGGCAACACATAAAAAAAATAGCTCATAGCAAATTAAACTACATTTTCAATTACTTTAAACTTTCTGTTTGTTAAATATGTCTGATGTTAAATAAGAGCACCCTTGCTGTTTCTGAGCTGGATAGAAAAGGTTACAGGTGAGCACTCATGGACTTCCGTCAACTTTTTTGTGGATATGTAAGTCTGGCCACAAAGTAAATTAAAAGGGAGCTGGGGGATCTGTTTTTTCTTTGAAGTTGTAGAGGAGCTGTAATAATCTGCGCTGAATGCAACACCTAATTTCTGTGGCCAGTAGCTAAGACTATTAAAGGGACTTGGCCTGTGTACTGTTTGAAAGTGAGTTGCCTTGGTTTGTGCTATCGTATGTATACTTAAAAAGTCATGGCTGTTGAACTCATAGAAAACAAAGGTGAGTATTTCCCAAGATGGGCAAAGAGCCATTTTTGTAGTAACAATTATGCAAGAAGAGTAGTAGAGCTTTTTTAACTACTTGCATAGCCCTTTCTTGCACTGCATACTAAATTGAGTGTGTACTTCGGTAAAATAATGATATCACAACTTATTTGGTAAAGAGTAACAGAGAGAAGTGATAATTATAAATGACAGTATGTAGCATACTGACACAAACCTTTCAAAGAGTAATGGAAGATGGTGACACTAACTTTTATTTCTTAACAATTTCTCTGAGTGGTAATAATTTGTAAGGAGTAGTTCAGACACAATTGAATTAACCTGGAGGTGACACAGAAGCCCTGATTTTGCAGTTTTACACATGCAAACATTTTTAATAAGGCTGAAAATAATGTAGTGAGTTCAGTGGCCTACTGGCCTATGTGAAAACTTGATTCTACATGTCTAACCTTACAATGGTAAGTCATGCAACAACACTGAGCT